TTTTTTTTTTCAGATGCTATGTTTAAGATATTTCAAATGGAACAGCCAATTGTTAAGGGACGGCAAGCAACAGCTGCCGATAAACGGAGATAATAATTGACTGACTAAATTTTTCAAACTGTTTTGTTTTGTTTGTGTTTGTTTGTTTTGTTATTTTGATTTTACTTTATAATGTAGCTGTCTATATGTATATTCAAGTCGATTGAACTATATTTTTTTTCTAGATACGGCAAATCTTCATCTGTGATAGTGTATATAGAAAGTTGAGACAGAAAAACGTTATTAAAGTATTGCTATTTGAATCTATTTTCTGCTACATAACGAATATTGGGAGTAAAAACAAATCTTTTATTAGTATTATATGAACAAAAGGTCTACCTGTAGTGCTTACCTCTGGTAGCTAAAATCTACGAGTCTGTACTGGCAACGTGTGGAATTCAGGGGATCTATCGCTATGCCGTCACGATTCTTTTGCGAACAAAATATTCAGGTTAACTCGTTTTATTGCTAGCCCAATCTTGGTAAACTCAGCTTATTAAGTCTCAAAACATACTAGAATAGCAAGAATAAATTCATCATCGAAGACAGCGGTTCTGTCAAGGTTGGAGATCTATCCAAGCCGTTATCATGGGAGGTTTACATGTGTAGCTGAGCGCAGCTGTTGGTAAAACCTGATAGGCAGGTACTGACTGAACCTAAGAATTAAACTGTAGTTGAATATTAAGATTGAAATGGCTTAGGATTTTTGTTAGATACGCTGACACGTATTTTAGGGCTATGGAAATTGGAAGGTTATTTTTGCTTGATTGACTGTAATTTGTCCAAAATATTAGTTCTTGGGTCTCCCTGTTTCTTTGGCTTTATTTTTCTTTTCTGTTCTACTAGTTTTGTTATGTGCATGTTTTCTCGCAAAATTTGATCTAACTTTTGGGGGTGATGACAGCGTACGGTTCTTGTGTAAATTTATTGTCTTAGTCATGTTTGGCGTTGTAGAGGTTAATACTGTATACAAGCAGCTCTGAGGCTCAGAGCCAAGTACAGGTGAGTGCATCAATTGGTTGAAGAAAAGAGATGGCTTTATAGCCTACCAAAAGTTATTTCATTGTCAAAATCACGAATAATTCACTTTTGTCTTTGTAGAAGCAATGGAACTATAAACGATTTTTAAAGGGTTTCATTAGGAAATATGATACAATTTTGTGTTTGTCAAATGGCTGAATTGAGCAATAAACGAATGCTGTACCATATTATTACTTCGTCTTTTATTTATTTCTTTTATAACATATATTGCCTGTACTGCTTGACAGTTGGGAGTTTCTGGTATTGGCCGTGAAAGTCAAATTTTTTGCGTTGTACAAATCGTACAGCAGTGATATTAATAGTTTGGTGGCCATAAACAGTATAGTTAGGTCTTGAAACCAATCATGCAATCAGTTCTTTTTTTCTTGTCGACGTATATTTGATCTTCTCATGACTATCACGTCTGATTAAATCGGTTTTTAACGCATTATAAAACTTCGCTGGATTGGAGGTCGACCTTCTCAGACAATTAGACACGTTGTCTCAAATGGCGCCATAAAAAAAAGGAAATTGTCAACAAAAATGAAAAAAAAAAATTTTTTTTTCACATCATTTTTGCATATTGATTAACCTAGTTTAGGTAACTTCTTTTCTTGATCTATCATTATTGCTGCTAACATTGTTACACCTATTTATCTATTCGTTAAATTATCAGATACATGTGGAAAATTTTTGACTGGAATAAGGGACGTACGCATTGTGTGACTTCTTTTTCTTCCCTATTTTTGCAGGATATTTTCTTGCTAGTAGCAGATCATCAGTTTACATTCTTTATCGACATTATAAACGAGGATGGTTAATCAGAAGAAATATAATGAAATAAATCTTAGAGAGAAAATAAGAAATGAAACGTTTGAAGAGAAAAAAGTTAAAAGCTTATTAGACCGAACAAAAAAAAATTTCCTTATTTTACAATAGAATTTTTTCGTTTTTTGAATTAGTGATGGATGAATAGAGGAGAAAATTAATTGTAACTGTTTACTGCGCATCTTTGTGCGTGTATATGTGACTCAACCTAATTGTTGGCCTGGCTGCCTGAACACTTATTAATACGTGCCAAATGGTAACCCCGTATAATGGGTTTAATTTTAGCCGAGAACTTTGGTTAGGTTTACTGTATAATGTTGATACAGTGCGAAACTGCTGGTAAGTTTGACAACTAAATGTTGCACTTGCTGAAAGTCTGTTGTATAAATAAGGTAGAAAAGGAAGAACGAGGGGAAATAAATTAGAAATGTGAATCTAAAAACTGTGTTTTTAAAAATATGGTTTTTTGACGAATAATACAGCGTTGTTAATGATTT